GCAATGTCCCTGGCCAGGGCCCAAACCTGGACCACTCAATCTGTAGTTGAGTGCAATAACCATGCATAACCACCGCACCTCCCACCGCTAGCACAGCATAATAGATTTATTTATCTCAGCAAAATACTTGTGAAATCTTGAAAAATCATCATCTATCTTTCCTGGATCCATATCGTGAGAGTGAAAATCCTGGGGGGGAGAAGGGGACTCCCCTATGAAAATGTACACAATGCTTGTTGTCTTGGTTCAGGGTATATATCAAGGATTTAGGTCACACTTTATGATGTTCTGGACGAAACGCCTCTAGTTTTAACCATAGTTAATGGAGGGAATTGCTTATGAAACTTGACAAAGTTCATTGTTGTATGTTTTTGTTCTCTCTTTTTTGCTTCAACCATGTACAAAACACAGTAGTTGTTTACTCCATACTAAGGAAGTAACCAATAGAAACGTGTTGGTTACGTAATTCATGCATAGTGTATGAGCGCAAAACAAAAGACTGTGCACAGTCGTGGACCTTCCAACATAAATCTTGGCATCTTTGTTTGCTCCTTTGATGCTTGCCCAGCTTCATAACCATTCCCCTCTATTAACTATGTTTTAACCATCACATATTATTATCATTTAAGGTGCACTCAAAAACCTTCTCTGTTTTTAAGTGGCATCTTTTAGAGGTCAAATAATGATTGAGCCATGCCCAGATTAATCTCCTTTAGGGGTTTGATTCCCGGGGGGGGGNAATAATAATAAAAGAAAACGTCGTCATTTCTATTTTAAGTGGTATCTAGAGCTAAAACACAGCTGGAGCCACGATTAGTCTCCCTTAGAAGTTATATTCAAATTTTCTGACGAGCATCCTTAAATATGGGAGTCTCCCCTCCCCTCCCCCTGATAAGATCTTTGGCAAGGTTTTTCGAGATCTTGAAAACCCTTTGTGATAATGCAAGGTTTTCCACCAGAAATCGATCTTACCTCGGACACTTGTAAAAAAGTCACTTCCTGAAACTTCTGCCCTATTTGTGGAAATCAGCAATTTTAATATTTTCATTTTAATCAAATGCCAAAATAATCTTAAAATCATAAAAGTAAACCTTTTTCGTGCCTGCATTTTTCGATTTTCGTCCTTAGTTCATTTGCATCGCACGTTATCGTTTCGCTAGACGTTCGGCTTTTCCACAGCTTTGCACAAGAACCGTTTTCCTCTTTGTGGCTTCTGCACTTGTAACCCCTTCTTTTCTTTACAACTTGAAAGCCGTCGTCCGCCATTTTGTTCACTATACTAGTTCCCAGGCCCCGCTCACGGTTCAACTTACCAGTCACAACAGAGCTGAATAACGTCTGCGCATGTGCGAGATCTCATGGCTCGCGCCGCCGCGAACGGCCTGGGCACCATAACAAACCTCGAAAAAATGGCGGCGTTTTCAAAAAGATTCGTATAGCGCCCGGTTTATGGTGAAAAAGTAGAGCCAAACTAAAAACGGTAGAAAGAAATCTTTACACTAGTTCCCTCGACCATTGGCC